TACTTTTTTAAAACTCTCAAATCAAAGTGATATACCTCTGGACGCTCGGGTGCCCACCTGAACGGGACTGGAGGTGATGCCCAACACTAAAGTCAGCAGTAATAACAGCGAAAGTTTGGCCATTATTTTAGACTAATTTAGAGCTCAATTCTTATACTCTAAACCAGTATTACAAATGAGAGCTAAAAGCATTGAATGTGACCTTAAATTTATATGAGATTTCATTTTCAAGTGTTGTACTACATGTCCATATTATCATCCGATATGATTAGTCCTCGATTCAAATCATATTATTTTTACAATTAGGTAATATATTATTGCCAATAAGGTATTGGCAATACCTATCAATTACTTAATATTGATTGATAACGCACAAAGTAATGGCATATGTCTGTTAAGGATTTAGGATAAGTGCTGTGAGATTATTATTATATCTGCTATTGTTTCTGAGAAATATTTCTTGATTTTTTATATTTTGTGCTTATAATTGATTATTGCTTAATAATTGTATTATGGTATTGCATTCAAATTAAATGGATTTAATGAATTTGTATTGTTATACAATATTCTCTAAACACAAACTTAGATTATTATTGTTCACATTGGTCACATGTGCATATTATCTGTACTTTCGCTTGTTAATTAAATTGTAATATAACAATTTGATATTAAGATATTACTGTAATTAAGCATTGAGATATCAATAGTACCTGAAATGAAGTGTTTTTCCCAGAATCCCAGTCCTCCTTTAACCTACTCATGACACCCTTTTTGAATATGCTATACCAGGTATAAGTTAGTATACCTTGAATCTCCAATCAGTCATTTAATAAGTGAGTGATAGTTGATACAATTTTTAATATCTTTACAAGAAAGTAATTCAGCTTGAATATTATGTAATAGTCATGTAATACTCGATGACACGATTTAAAAATGTAAGAAAAATATTGCTGTACCTCTAGTTCATACTTACAAGTTAGTGGCCATTATCACGAGTGATTTATTAGCAATTAATGATCACTAACTAGTAAGTGTAGTTTTAAATGATAATTCCTTTTAACAACCACTTTCGACTGCAAGAATTATTATGCAACTTATTCATCATGCTATATCTAGAGTTGCACAATTGTAGTTATAATATTTACTAGGTGATAAGTTATCATTGATAATAAACTAACTAATTCTTGTTGATAATTAACCATCACCTTACTGGACGGACCATTAAAGCGATTATTACAATAAATTAAATCATATTTGAAAATATATTTCATAATTTATTTTGATGATAACATTGCATTCAATTATACACGTATAAAATTATATATTACATTTTGTTTAATAATAACAATACATTGATAATATTTAATAAGAATAAATATTATGTGATTTAATTACAAAAAGTAAATTTTTAAAATTATTCATTGCATTCATAACAGATTGGATTACAAATGCAAGAATAATGTAATACTGACCACCACTTAGTCATCCATTGGTGGTATATCAGGGCCGTCGCACTCCCTGTCCTTTTGCACCCATGTGGTGTGAATGGGGCATTGGCGCAAATGGAGGTACCATCCGGTGCCTGGGATCCATTCGCACTGGAAGTACTTATGCGGGTCACTGGGGTGTGGCATATAGCCGTCCCGAGAGCACCACCAATCGATATCAGAGGAAGTGGTCGATGGCTGAGGTGTTGGGGTAGTTGTTGTAGTTGTGGTGGTCGGTGCCGGTGTTGTCGTGGTTGTAGTTGTAGTGGTAGTAGTGGTGGTGGTGGTGGTAGTGGTAGGTGCTGGTTGGAATTTGCACTCAAACGACTTGATCTCATCGCCATTCAACATACGGTGCACTTTGTTCATGAGGGGTGACTTCCCGCCCCCGCATTTGTTCATGAAGTCGTCGTTCTCGAGGGCCCACACCATACCACCCGACAGTCCCATGGATTTCAAGTATGCGATCTATAATTATAATACAATTTAGGGTTAGTTTCTGTTTGATTGTCTCATATATTAATGAATGCATACTTTGCACGAAATACTCTCCACGTCTTCGTAACCAATGAATATCTCGTCGTTATAAGCATACGGCGCCCGATAGTAGGGGTCATAAGTGTTATACCATTTCTTGGGATCCTGGAGTTCTTCCTGACATAACTATTGGATATAAATTATATGATTATATGATTTACAAAGTTTTCTATTCATATTACGGTATATTATACTAATCATATTTGAAGCATACCTCATTATATCCCAACACTCCGGCCTCACCACCGATGAAACCCTCGGGTGACATACCCTTTGCGATATCGTGGAGATTGTGTTTATCTTTACTCATGAGAGTCCAGGCCCTGCCATAGAAGGGCACTCCCATCACTATCTTCTCCTTCTTCAAACCCAATGACAAGTAATAGCTGACAGTATAGTTGACGTTAAAGTATCGGTAATCGCCTTCTGTCTCATCGGGTCGGCTATAGAGTGGGGCGTTGTGTCCGAGAATGTCTTCCCAACCCCCGTGATAGTCGTATGTCATTACGTTTCCCCAATCAAGGAGTTCATTCATTAGGGGTACGTCTCCATAGGCGGCGTCGATCTTTTGCTTTCCGGGTGAGAGGGCAGCCGTCAGGAGATACCCGTGCGGGTCGAAGGCTTCTCTCAATTCCTTCAGCAGTTTCAGAAAATTGGGTTTATCTGCGACCTCATCACCACCTCTGTTAGCCGGGTACTCCCAATCGAGATCCAGTCCATCGAAGTCATACTTTTGGAGGAAATCCAATACACTTTTCACGAATCGGGCTCTGTTTGCATCCTTAACCATATCCGAGTACTTCTCTGACCCCTCATACCATCCCCCGACTGATATCATTGTCGTTAAGTGAGGGTTCTTTGTCCTCAAACCCACGAACCTCTTGTACGCCTCTATACAGCGAATCAATAAGTTTTAAAATCATATTTCAATTTAAAATCAAACAATTATTACCGAAATGGATGTCAAGCCAGTCATCGAAGACCTGTATCTCATACGTGGATTCATTGATTTTGGCGAAACCATAGTTAATATGAGTACACAAATCGTATTCAATGTTCTCGATCTCGAAGGGTTGGACTTTGTGATAGTGCGCCCAACTTCCGAAATAACAGACCACTCGGTGAGGGTTTTTCGTGTAGTCGTTATGATCTGCATATTGACACAGAAAGATAGTTTAAAATGGTTTTTGGCACAACTCCTAATTCAAAGTTATATACCTCTGGAGGCTCGGGTTCCCACCTGAACGGGACTGGAGGTGATCTCCAACACTAATGTCAGGAGTAATAACAAACAAAGTTTGGCCATTATTTTGAACTAATTTAGAGCTCAACACCTAAACTCTAAACCAAACTTTTAAATGAAAGCTAAATGTATTGCATTCGGTCTTTAATTTATATAAGTTTTGACTTTTCAAGAATTAGATATCAATTTGAAGGTTAGATATATTATTCATTATGTTAGTTATTGTGTACTAATTTTCCATTCGCTGTAACAATACATTTGTTTAGTCCTCTGATTTCTGAATGTCAATCAATTGATTAGACTATTGACGGCTTTATTGGGATTTTGTTTTGTACAGGGTGTTGTATAATATTTATTTTACTTTTCCCACATTTACAAATTATTTTATAGCACCTATTAAATATTAGATGTTTTAAACTTAACAATTATTTAGCATTTATATATAATTTTACAATATGCAATTTTACTACTTAATTTCAATATTCTTTATTAAGAAAAATTTTTATTTTAAATATAATTTTGTAAATAACAAGCATTAGAATTTAATTTATATTAAAATAAATTATATCCAAAATTTTAACATTCTATAAATATTCATAATCAAATTAGATTAGTTTATTTTCAAAATTAGGAAGATTTCATCTATTAATTTCTATTTTTTATACATATTTATATTATTTTATATTTAGTAAATTATATAAAGTGTATTGTATTTACTAAATTTAATATATATTGATTAACCCTGTAATAATTTCTAGTTATCTATAACTACTTTCAAACATCTCATAACACTTGATGTTATAATCAATTTTTAGTACGTTATGAAAATTCCCAGAATAAGGTATTATTTGT